CAAGTCAGTGGATGTGAACTCTGATGACCCTGATGCAGGAGGGGGCCTGTGAGCCCAAGGGCCAGGGGCGGTTCTGGGGCAGGGACATAGAGATAATGACTGCGTTCTCTGCTCTTTGATTGTCCTGACCAATGTGGCTGGGCCCAGCTAAGCAAGAGGACATTTGGGGGAAAAGCAAGAGTCTCAAACTTAGGAGACTCAGTTAGCTTTTACCATGATCTCCTTCTGGAATTCATTAAATCTACAACCCTGCTCTGGTATTCTGCCTTTTCTTTGCAGGAGCCCCGGGCTTTATACCTGGTTGAGTGGCCAGCGACATTCTGAGTACACCGCCCTTTGTAGGAACCTGCAAGTCTGTGCCTCCTGGCCGTGGGCTCCAACGATATATTCATGAGCTCTTTTTTGGTATCTTCTCTGTTCATTCAATACAAACGCACTTCAAATGCTTATGACATGTTACTGTCTGTAGAATGTAAGGGGAGACAAAGAAAAGTATCTATATGCTGCTGCCCAAAAGCCAAAGAAAGTCCTTTTCAAAAATTCTAATATTCACTTAGGTTGATTCCATGTCCTGGCTATGGTAAATAGTGCTGCAATGAACATTTGAGTACATGCGTCATTTTGAATTTGGCAACAAGGAGTTCATGATATGAGCCGCAGTCAGCTCCTGGTCTTCTTTTTGCTGACTGTATAGAGCTTCTCCATCTCTGGCTGCAAGGAGCATAATCAATCTGATTTTGGTGTTGACCATCTGGTGATGTCCCTGTATATAGAGTTTTCTCTTGTGTTGTTGGAAGAGGATGTTTGCTACGACCAGTGCATTCTCTTGGCAAAACTCTATTAGCCTTTGCCCTGCTTCATTCTGTACTCTGAGGCCAAATTTGCCTATTACTCCAGGTGTTTCTTGACTTCCTACTTTTGTATTCCAATCCCCTATAATGAAAAGGACATCTTTTTTGGGTGTTAGTTCTAGAAAGTCTTGTAGGTCTTCATAGAACCGTTCAAATTCAGCTTCTTCAGCGTTACTGGTCAGAGCACAGACTTGGATTACCATGATACTGAATATGCAGGTCAGGAAGCAACAGTTAGAACTGGACATAGAACACAGACTGGTTCCAAATAAAGAAAGGAGTATGTCAAGGCTGTATATTGTCACCCTACTTATTTAACTTCGATGCAGATTACATCATGAGAAATGCTGGGCTGGAAGAAGCACAAGCTGGAATCAAGATTGCTGGGAGAAATATCAATAGCCTCAGACATGCAGATGCTGCTGCTGCTGCTGCTAAGACTCTTCAGTCATGTCCGACTCTGTGCGACCCCATAGACGGCAGCCCACGAGGCTCCCCCATCCCTGGGATTATCCAGGCAAGAACACTGGAGCGGGTTGCCATTTCCTTCTCCAGTGCATGAAAGGGAAAAGGGAAAGTGAAGTCACTCAGTCGTGTCCGACTCTCAGCGACCCCATGGACCGCAGCCCACCAGGCTCCTCCATCCATGGGATTTTCCAGGTGAGAGTAGTGGAGTGGGGTGCCATTGCCTTCTCCAGATATGCAGATGATACCACAATTATGGCAGAAAGTAAAGAAGAACTAAAGAGCCTCTTGATGAAAGTGAAAGAGGAGAGTGAAAAAGTTGGCTTAAAGCTCAACATTCAGAAAACTAAGATCGTGTCATCTGGTCCCATCACTTCATGGCAAATAGATGGGAGATAGTGGAAAGTGACAGACTTCATTTTTTGGGTCTCCAAAATCACTGCAGATGGTGACTGCAGTCAAGAAATTAAAAAAGGATTGCTCCTTGGAAGAAAAGTTATTACCAACTTAGACAGCATATTAAAAAGCAGAGACATTACTTTGCCAACATAGGTTCATCTAGTCAAAACTATGTATGGACGTGAGAGTTGGACTATAAAGAAAGCTGAGCACTGAAGAATTGATGCTTTTGAACTGTGGTGTTGGAGAAGACTCTTGAGAGTCCCTTGGACTGCAAGGAGATCCAACCAGTCCATCCTAAAGGAGATCAGTCCTGGGTGTTCATTGGAAGGACTGATGCTGAAGCTGAAACTCCAATATTTTGGCCACCTGATGCAAAGAGCTGACTCATTGGAAAAGACCCTGATGCTGGGAAAGATTGAGGGCAGGAAGAGAAGGGGACTACAAAGGATGAGATGCTTGGATGTCATCACCAACTCAATGGACATGAGTTTGAGTAAACTCCAGGAGTTGGTGATGGACAGGGAGGCCTGGAGTGCAGCACTTCATGGGGCTGCAAAGTGTCAGACATGAATGAGTGACTGAACTGAACTATATGTGTAAGTCTGATTCTGACTTGTTTTATTCATTTACTTTCTAGATTTCACACACTAGCAATAACATAGAGTGTTTGTCTTTCTCTGTTTGACTTACTTTACTTAACCTAATGCCCTCCAAGTCCATCCATGATTATTGCAAATGGCAAGATTTCATCTTTTTATGGCTGAGTAATATTCCATTACATATATACACTACAGTATCTTTATACACTCATCTGTGGATGGACATTTAGGTTGCCTTGGTATCTTGAGTATTGTAAATAATGCTACTATGAACATTGGAGTGCCAATACCTTTTCAAATTAATATTTTTATTTTCTTCAGATATCTGTCTATCGATCTATCTGTCTGTCTATATATAGCCAAGAGTAGGTTCTGGAAGCTGGTTTCTGGAGAAAACAAGCCCACATTGTATAAATCTGTGAAAAATGGAATTGCAAGGTCAAGGAATTAGCTGAGAAGTGGAATCAAGGTGACCAAGATGATAGAGCTGAAAAGCCAAGTCTCCAGAACCAGGGACGGGCTGAAAGACAGGGAATGAAAAGTGGAGGCAGGGCGTGAACAGGTGTGAGCAGGGAGCACGGCCGCCCACCTGTATCTCGATGACCCACTAGAGGCTTCAGTGCCACCTCATCTTCATTTACCTGGTCTACTTGTTCTGCGACTCCCTGCTGTGGGATGCTCTGTCTAGCTCCTAACTGCTGATTAGGAGTGGGGTGGAGGTGGGGCAGGAACACTCATGACCTGTCTGTAATTAGAGAGTAGCAGTGGCCCCTTCGCTCCAGGCTGTGGCCTCTGTGCCCCGGGAATCCTGGTTAGCCTCCCTTTAGTGCTCAGCTGGCCCCACCGTGGGAGTCATTTGTGCCCTACCCTGCATCTCTGGCCTTCTCTGCCCGCCTGGTTGTGTGCTGCCTCAGCTTAAGAAATGGGGAGCGTCTGGAGAAAACCCTGCTGCAGGGAGAACGCGCTCCTTAGAAACTTAGGGTCACACACCTGCTGGCCCTGCACCCCGAGGCAGTGTCTCCCTCCCGGATCTGCTGCCCACTCTCGTCAGACTGTTTCACCCTCTGTGAGCCATTTTGCATCATTTTGAATCTCCTGAGACTCCCAAACGCCTTCTCACCCCTCTTGTCACTGGTGACCTTTCTCCTTATTTCACGAGGAAACCTAGGATATCAGAAAGGCATTCTCTCGTCTCTCAGCTGGCTGTCTCTGCATCTACCAGCATGTTAAAGAGGACACCGGCACTCTCAAGGCCCACCTCTCTCCTGCCCAGGGAGCTCTCCACTCTTCCCCTCTGTCGTCACATTTTCTCGTTGTCCTGTGTCATTCCGATCAACAGGCCAAGGGGACCATATGTGGGCCATTAAATACCACACCCGTCCTGCTTCTGCCCCTTCACTCTGCTCTCCTTTGCACTCACTCTCCTTGAAAGAGTTGTCCACACCGTCCACCGCAGGCCCTGCCCTCCCCTCCCCTGCAGCCCTGGGACTCTAGTACATCTGCCCCTGCCCAGGCCACATCACCTGCTTGGGCAAAGCAAACTCAGCACTTGGGTCTCCCCTCCCACACAACTCTCTCTAAAAATCCTTATGTTTATTATTTTAAAATTTTATTTACTTTTAATTTTTAGATTTTTGGTCATATCACACAGCATACAGGATCTTAGCTCCCAGACCAGGGATTGAACCTCTGCCCCTTGCAATGGAACTGTGATGTCCCCAGCCACTGGACCTCCAGGGAATTCCCAAAATGCTTATGTCTAAAATGATGAAACTGGAAAAGAAGATCTCAAGAACAACAATGGCAAATAAGTTAGACTAAAAAAATAAACGTAGGTTTTAAAAAACTGAGCAGGACTTTAAGGTTGTTTTACATTGGGAAATAACATTTAGAAATGTTTTCAAATAATTTGAAACTTAGGGATAAGTTTCAAAAACAGCACAGAGTTTCATGTAGTTAACACATAATATGAAAATGGCACCCTTATCAAAACTGGGAAACAGACCCTGGCACTATCTGTGAACTAGACTTTAGGGGAAATTCACCGTTTTCCCACTGATGTCCTTTTCCAATCTCAGGATAGCATCCACAGTCCCATGCTGCCTGTTTCACTGTAGCCTCCTCCAATGTGACAGCTGCTCTGTACTATTATGATTTTTCTAATAGAATGTTTCGCAATTCATGTTTGTTTGATGTTTTCTCATAACTAGATGAAGGGATTTTTTGCCATAATATCATGCACTTCTGGAATCTTTAAGCTAACTGATGATTTCGAGACAGATGACATTCTAAGCACTTTTTGAAACATATTAACTTTACTCAAGATCCTCAAAACCCTTTCATGAAGTAATGGTTTATTTGCTGTAAGATGAGAGAACCAGGGTGTTGAATCATTGTCAGCAGTCACACCGTTAGTGGGATGCAGCTGGGACCTGGGCTCACCCCTGGCCGGGCTGGGCAGCTCCGGGTGAAGGAGATGGAACAGATGGCCTCCTCACCCCCGAGCGTCACCAAGAAAGCATCACCAAGAAAGAGCCGCTGGCCGAGCTCATCCCGCCACACGACTGAGTCGGTCATCAAGGCAAAGTCAGCCTCTCTGACATTGTTCAGACCATCCTCACTCACAGGACCTAACTCTCTCCACCCAAGCTTGTGTTCTGTTGACATCTGGTCTTATTTTAAGGTAGGAGTTAGAGATCGGAAAGATGACACTGAGTCAAACAGCTTGAATTCTGAGTGGCTCAGTGGAGAGCAGTACCAACTACAGAAACTTACAAAGTGAAGAGTCCGTGAGTGGAAGCTGTCCATTCCGCCCTGCGCTTGAAAGTCACAGCGTGCCTGCCGCAAGTAGCCAGTGACTAGCCTCGGTTTGTTAGTGGTGCAGAGGACAGATGGAGCTGTTGGACCCTCCGCCCTTGCCTGGCAGTTAACAGCTCCATTTTCTCTTACGTGCAAGACACATTAATGAAAACTCACGGTTCTGTTCTTTCACGTGGCAAATGATTGAACATTCCATTAAACATTGACCCGTCGCACAATTGTGCTTGTGTCTCACCTATGAACTATGAAATGCCTTGCACAAGCAGTTCTTCCCAATTAGGCATGTCGGGTAGCAAGGGGAAAAAGCGCACGCCAGCATCGCAGTGGGACTGGCCGGAGTGTACCAACAGTTATCAACGGATCAGTGGTGCCCGGAGCCCGGAACAGCTGGTCTTCAGTGGTTAGGCCTGGGCCTGGGATTGTTTACCGTCTTTATCAATGACCTGAGTGAGACTGAATAGAAAGCATGCTTTGTACCTACGCGGCTGATACTGAACTTGCAGGGACAAACAGGGCCTCAGAAGGGAGGGTTATAAAGTAAATTGTGGCCCACGTGCATTGATTAGACTCCATGCCTAGAGAAGAGTTTTAGAGAAAGAGAGAACTATAAAGAAAGTGGAAAATACAATCTGTTCTTTAGCACTTTGTCAACTGACTGGGGTTACGGCCATGTCACTGAATCCAAGCTCTGCTCGCTGCATAACAGACCAGCAAATGGAAGATGAGGTGTGGAGGCAAGGAATAGTGATGTTATTTGGAAAGTCACTGGTGTTCTTATCCGGGTCTGGAGGTCAGGTTTTTTTTGTTTTTGTTTTTTTAATAATATAAAGAGGTAGAGGTGGTGAGGTAGTGACGTGAACAGGTCATAGTCTTAAAAATCATCTCTGGCTTGGCCACCATGGGGGCTGCAGCCATTTCACAGGGGGCAGGGACTGGAAGTCTCCCGTGAGCTGGACAAGGGCACTTTAACAGTCAGGCAGAGGGCAGGTTCTCTGAGGCAGGCCATTATATATGCTTACAGCTGTAGACAGGGCTTCCCAGGTGGCGCTAGTGGTAAAGAACCCACCTGCCAATGCAGGAGACATAAGGGACATGGGTTCGACCCTGGGTCAGGGCGATCCCCTGGAGGAGGAAATGGCAACCGACTCCAGTATTCTTGCCTGGAGAATCCCATGGACGGAGGGGGCTGGTGGGCTACAGTCCATGGGGTCGCAAAGAGTAGCACAGGACGGAAGTGACTTAGCATGCAGGGATAGACAACAAACTTCTAGTGATTATAGTAACAAAAGCTAATGAAAAGCAAAGGTTAAAGTAAAAGAAACAGATCCAGCACAGCCAGAGTACAGCAAGACGGGAGCCCTGGGATCTTGTGGAGTGTGCCCTGCAGGCACATGTGATGCTTCCTTCCAGCCGTGCCCAGTGATTGGACTTTGGGATGTGATGGGGCTAAGAGGAGAGAGATGGGCAAGGCGAGAGTGATCTGACAGAGGACAAGGTCATTTCAGAAGGAGAACAGACTGAGAGGTCCTGTTTTCTTTGCAAACATCCGAATAGCATCAGTTCGGTTCAGTTGCTCAGTCATGTCCAACTCCTTGTGACCCCATGAATTGCAGCACGCCAGGCCTCCCTGTCTATCACCAACTCCCAGAGTTTACTCAAACCCATGCCCATCGAGTCGGTGATGCCATCCAGCCATCTCATCCTCTGTCGTCCCCTTCTCCTCCTGCCCTCAATCCCTCCCAGCATCGGGGTCTTTTCCAATGAGTCAGTTCTTTGCATGAGGTGGCCAAAGTACTGGATTTCAGCTTTAGCATCAGTCCTTCCAATGAACACCCAGGACTGATATGATTTAGGATGGACTGGTTGGATCTCCTTGCAGTCCAAGGGACTCTCAAGAGTCTTCTCCAACACCACAGTTCAAAAGCATCAATTTTTCGGCGCTCAGCTTTCTTCACAGTCCAACTCTCACATCCATACATGACCACTGGAAAAACCATAGCCTTGATTAGATGGACCTTTGTTGGCAAAGTAATGTCTCTGCTTTTTATTTATATTTTTTTAATGTCTCTGCTTTTTAATATGCTATCTAGGTTGGTCATAACTTTCCTTCCAAGGAATAAGTGTCTTTTAATTTCATGGCTGCAATCACCATCTGCAGTGATTTTGGAGACCCAAAAAATAAAGTCTGACACTGTTTCCACTGTTTCTCCATCTATTTCCCATGAAGTGATGGGACCAGATGCCATGATCTTAGTTTTCTGAATGTTGAGCTTTAAGCCAACTTTTTCACTCTTCTCTTTCACTTTCATCAAGAGGCTTTTTAGTTCATCTTCACTTTCTGCCATAAGGGTGGTGTCATCTGCATACCTGAGGTTATTGATATTTCTCCCAGCAATCTCGGTTCCAGCTTGTGCTTCTTCCAGCCCAGCGTTTCTCATGATGTACTCTGCATAGAAGTTAAATAAGCAGGGTGACAATATACAGCCTTGACGTACTCCTTTTCCTATTTGGAACCAGTCTGTTGTTCCATGTCCAGTTCTAACTGTTGCTTCCTGACCTACATACAGATTTCTCAAGAGGCAGGTTAGGTGGTCTGGTATTCCCATCTCTTTCAGAATTTTCCACAGTTTATTGCGATCCACACATTCGAAGACTTTGACATAGTCAATAAAGCAGAAATAGATGTTTTTCTGGAACTCTCTTGCTTTTTCCATGATCCAGCAGATGTTGGCAATTTGATCTCTGGTTCCTCTGCGTTTTCTAAAACCACCTTGAACATCTGGAAGTTCAAGGTTCATGTATTGCTGAAGCCTGGCTTGGAGAATTTTGAGCATTACTTTACTAGGGTGTGAGATGAGTGCAATTGTGTGGTAGTTTGAGCATTCTTTGGGATTGCCTTTCTTAGGGATTGGAATGAAAACGGACCTTTTCCAGTCCTGTGGCCACCGCTGAGTTTTCCAAATTTGCTTCCTTTTATAGACACTAGGAAAGTGAAAATGAAGTTGCTCAGTCTTGTCCGACTCTTTGTGACCCCATGGACCCACCAGGCTCCTCCATCCATGGGATTCTCCAGGCAAGAATACTGGAGTTGGTTGCCATTTCCTTCTCCAGGGGATCTTTCCTACCCAGGGGTCGAACCCAGGCCTCCTGCATTGCAGGCAGCTGCTTTAACCTCTGAGCCAGCAGGGAAGGCCACTAGAGTCCCCATCAAATGGAAGAAGTCAACTACAGGAGAACCGTGAGCACTCAGCCCCCAGACCTACGGGAGCCTGAGGACTGATTATGTTCACCCCTGTGATGTCACCTTACAGCCTCACCATCAACAATCATACACTTGTGCACAAGTTGATCACTTGCCCTGCGACCCCCTCCCTCGCGTGGCCTTGAAAAATGCCTCCCTGACACCCATGAGGGGGTTCAGGGCTCTGAAGCACTGGCTTCCTGGACTCCTTCCTTCCTGGGCACCTACAGTAAATGCTGCACTTTCCTTCACCGCAGGCAAAGGGTGACACAGTGGAGAATGAATACCAGACACAAGCAGAATAAGTCAATGAACTCTTAAATGTCATGGAAAGTAGATGCCAATATGATTAAAAGTGAATTATAAATACAGGACAGGCAGAATTCAGAATAAGTAGACAGAGCTCTAGATAGGAGCATGATGTGTAAGAGAAACAAAGTCTTGTCATGACTATGAGGACATCTTTGTATTATATATATATTTTTGACAGTCAAACAAAAGTAAGTAAATATATACATGTTATATAAATAAGGTGTATGTGTAGGGAGCATTCCTCTTTCTACTTAAAAACATTATCTTGCTGTGCTGCGTCTTTGTTCTAATTCACAGAGTGCAAAATTCACTCTTTCTAAGTCCTTCTTAACTACTGGTTAGACTAAAGCACCTCTTAGACTGTGAATGAGGCAGCAGAAAACCACCAAAAATAATTAACAAACTGGATTTTGTTAGCTTGGATATCAGAAAAGCTTTGACTAAGAATATGGTGGAGAATTTTCATGGTGTAACAACTGATTTCAAGCTGGACTTAGAAAAGGCAGAGGAATCAGAGATCAAATTGCCAACATCTGCTGGATGATCAAAAAAGGAAGAGAGTTCTAGAAAAACATCTACTTCTGCTTTATTGATTATGCCAAAGTCTTTGACTGTGTGGATCACAACAGACTGTAGAAAATTCTTCAAGAGATGGGAATACCAGACCATCTTACCTGCCTCTTGAGAAATCTGTATGTAGGTCAAGAAGCAACAGTTAGAACTGGACATGGAACAACAGACTGGTTCCAAATAGGAAAAGGAGTACGTCAAGGCTGTATATTGTCACCCTGCTTATTTAACTTCCATGCAGAGTACATCATGAGAAATGTTGGGCTGGAGGAAGCACAAGCTGGAATCAAGACTGCCAGGAGAAATATCAATAACCTCAGATATGCAGATGACACCACCTTTATGGTAGAAAGTGAAGATGAACTAAAAAGCCTCTTGATGAAAGTGAAAGAGGAGAGTGAAAAAGTTGACTTAAACTCAATATTCAGAAAACTAAGATCATGGCATCTGGTCCCATCACTTCATGGGAAATAGATGGGGAAACAGTGGAAACAGTGTCAGAATTTATTTTGGGGGGCTCCAAAATCACTGCAGATGGTGATTGCAGCCATGAAATTAAAAGACGCTTACTCCTTGGAAGGAAAGTTATGACCAACCTAGATAGCATATTTAAAAGCAGAGACATTACTTTGCCAACAAAGGTCCGTCTAATCAAGGCTATGGTTTTTCCAGTGGTCATGTATGGATGTGAGAGTTGGACTGTGAAGAAAGCTGAGCGCCGAAAAATTGATGCTTTTGAACTGTGGTGTTGGAGAAGACTCTTGAGAGTCCCTTGGACTGCAAAGAGATCCAACCAGTCCATCCTAAAGCATATCAGTCCTGGGTGTTCATTGGAAGGA